TTGGTTCCTTTCCTAGTTAGCCTTTTAAAAATGAGATTCCGTTCCAGTAGTGACTCGGTAACTTCTGTTGTTCTAATCCTCTCCTAGATGATAATTATAAGCTTTGGCTGTAATGTTTCAAAGAAACTATTTGAAGTTCCTGGAGAGAAGCAAAAAACAAAACAAAACAAAAACAAAGATAGAATAAGGAAGGGATTTGACCGTCGAAAGGAGAGAACCACTATATGAGACCCACATTTATGTGGCTCTTCCTTGAAAGCACTCCCCAGCCCACGTGGCACCGAGCAGCTGGAAGGAGCCACAGCAGGAGGCTGCAGGTTTTAGTGGGCTGACCACTCAGTCTGCAGAGCACAGGCTGAGGGGCAGCGGGAGAATGAGGTCTACAGAGAAGTCCCGGTTCCGTGCTTCCACTTAGATCAAGGGAGACCTCTGCTGAAACTGTATCGTACTTCCACTCCCCTTTCAGCCCGTTGCTGCTTTGCATACCTGCCCGCAGTACTTCATCTCGGGCTTCCCATTCAGCCTCCCGCTTGTAACCCCCGCAGCAAAGTCGGCTTCCTGACTCGGAAAGCTGACTTACAACAGTCTAATTGATATTTATAGAACATTACACTCAACGACTGCAAAACACACATGCTTTGCAAGTGCGCATGGTACATATATTAAGATAGAGCACATTTGAGCCATACAATTAATCTCAGTAAATGTCAAAGTGTTAAGATGTTATAGATTATGTTTGTTCATCGTAAATGAATCATAGCAAACGTAATAAAACGAAAAGATCTGAAAGAGCACTGGGATTTTAAAATTAAATATATGTTTAGGTAACACATGGGTCAAAAAAGAATCATGAAGACATTAAGAATAATTTGAATTGAACGACCATGAACATGTGTGTAAGATTTCTGACACGCCCAAAAGCAGTGCATGGAGGGAAACGCGTTGTTTTCAATGTTTATATTAGAAAAGATGGAAGGTATAAAATTAATGATGTATGTTTTCATCTTAAGCATCTAGAAAAAAGAAGAACCAATTAAACCCTTAGACCCGAAGTAAGGAGAAGAGAGGAAATAATAGAGTAGATATAAGTGAGATAGAAAACAAATAATGGAGAAAATAGAAAAAAGCTGCAAGTTAGTTTTTAAAAGATTAATAAAAATTATAAATTCATAGCAGCACAGCTTACTGAAAAAGAGAGAAAAGACAAATTAACATTACCAGTAATAGCAGGAACAATCAGTACATAGCCTACAGAAAATGAAAGGGTAATAGAGAAACATTATGAACAACTTTATGCTGATAAAATTCACAGCGAAGATGAAATGGACAAAATCACATATTGCCACTACTGAAATAACCAGAAACAGAGCATATAAATAGATTTATGAAAGAGGATTAGTTCATTATTAAAACCTTCCCAACAAAGAAGAAAATTAGCCCCAGATGGCTTCACTGTTGAATTCTGCCAATAATTTAAGAAAAAATATACCAACATTACACAAACTCCTTTAGAAAATAGAAAAGGCACAAATACTTCTGGACATATTTTGCGAAGTCAGCGTTGCCCTGCTACCAAAACCTGGCGAAGACACCACCAGAAGAGAAGATTGCAGACCATTGTTTACGATGAACACGGGCACCCAAACCCTCAACAAAGTATTATCAGATCGAAGTCAGCGATCTCTGAAAGGGTTAACGCACAATGACAGAGTGGAATTTGTTCCAGGAGTGCAAGTTTGGTTTAACACGTGGAAGTCAAGCAGTGCAGCTCACCACATTAAGCAAATAAATGATTTTTTAAAACATAATCCTCTCAATCCATTTAGAAACTCACTTGGCAAATCTATCATCCATTCATGATAAAAAAACTCCCAGGCCATTAAGACTGCAAGGGAACTGTCTTGGTGTGACAAAGTACATCTACAGAAAACTTAAACAGCTAACATCTTGTTACTGAAATGTCAGCCATTGAACATTTTCCCCCCACACACGGCTGGGAACAAAGTGAGACTTCTGTTTCCATTTCTGTTCAGCAGTGGGGTGGTCCTCCCTATTGTAACAGGAAAAGCAGAAGACCTAAAAGGCATTAAAATTGGAAAGGGAGACATAAAGGTGTCTCTATTCATAGATGACATGCCTATTTACATAGAAAATCTTAAGTGATTGGTAAACAACGACTAGAAACAATTGTTGAATTTATCAGGTCAATATGTTGACAGTAATTGGCAAATACATTATATAGGCAGCAAATACATGGAAAATGAAACAAAATAGTTTTAAAGTATTATCTCCCCCCCCCCGCAAAGAAATTCTTAGGCATCAATTTAACAAAACATGTGCAACACCTCTATATTGAAAGTCATAAAACATTTCTGAGAGAAGCTAAGGAATTAATAACTGGAGACCTACCATGTTTATGAAGTGGAAAATTCATGATCGTTCAGAAGCCAGTTCCATCCAAACTGAGCTAGAAATTTTAGGTAATCTCAAATAATATTCCATCCAATTTTGTTCATACAAGTTGATTTTAAAATGCATTCAAAAGTAGGAAGTAGAATTCCCAAAATAATCTTGGGCTAGAAAATGCAAGTAGGGGGTCTCACTGTACCTGATTTTAGGACTTTTATATCAAGGTGATGTAAAGATAAATAAACATCAATGGAGCATAATAAAGTGTCCAGAATATATATATATATATATATATATATATATATATATATATATAGTAATATATATATATATATAGTAATAGTAGTAGTAGTAATAGTAGTATAGTAATATATATATATATATTGTGGACACTTTTCTGTGTGTGTGTGTGTGTGTCTGTGTGTGTATACACACACACATACAGTCAATTGGTGTCAGCAAAGCTACTGAATTCACTGGGGAAAAGTATTTTCATAAATGGTGCTGGAAAACTGAATATGAACCTCACCTCATACCACTCAGAAATCAAGTTTGGATGGATTATAGACCTAAACAGAAAAGCTAAAAGTCTAAAACTACTATAAGAAATTTTAGGACAAATTCAGCATATGTGGGGGTTGGCAGAGATTTTAAAGAGCAAACATAAAAGGACTAACCATGAAAAAATGGTAAATTGGACTTCATAAAAATTTAAAGTGTGTGAACAAAATGTCTGCAGATCTATAACAGATTTTATGCATGTGCTTATAAATATGTATACATATGCATGTGTACTTGTATTTATATATAAAATATTCCTAATAACCAAAATATGGAAGTATGGTCTTGTGGTATCATTTCTTTTCATTGGGATGCTTTTATCTCAAGTAACAGTTTGCTTTTTCTAAGAGTTATTTTATTCTGTCAAACTTCTGCTCATGAAGGAAATAAAAGGACAAGCCAAAGACTCAGAGACAGTGTTCAAGATATACATACCCAATGAAAGACTTATATCCAGAATGTATAAAGAACTCCCACAAATAAATAATAAATATGAGCAGTCCACCTGTTTAAAATGGGCCAAAGACTTAAACAGTCACTTCACAGAACAAGATGTGTCCATGGCTAGGAAACCCATAAAACTTGCTCAACCTCATTAGGTCTCAGAGGAAATAGATTGAAAATGCAACGAGATACTATTTTACACCCATCAGAATAGCTAAGACTAAAAAAGACTAATAACAACCAAGAGTTGATAAGGGCGTGGAGCACTGGAACTCTCAAATGAAGTGTGCAAAATAGTACAACCACTGTGGGAAATTTTTTGACAGTGTTTTATAAAGTTAAACATATGCCTACCCTAGAACCTAACAAATTAACTTCTGGGTTTGTATGTTGCCAAAGGAAAAGTCTCTTACCCTCTTTCTTCACACAAAAATACATAAATTAAAAAACAATCTGTGTAACAATTCTATTCACAACCCCCCCAAACTGGAAACATCTCATGTGTCCATCAGCAAGAGAACGCAGTAACGATTTGGTTTATTCATCCGGTGGGACGTCTCTCAGCAGGATGAAAAGCAGAACGTCTGTTGATACATGCAGCATAGCTGAGTCTCATCACCATTGAGTTGAGGGAAAGATGTCAGGCACAAAAAAATAGTACATGTGATTCCATTTAGACCAAGTTCAAGAATAGATAAAATTCATATCTAGTAACAGACATCAGAAGGGTGTTTGCCTATGAGGATGTGTGGATTGACCAGAGAGGGGCCCAGGAGAACTTTCTGAGGGGAGATAATAAATCTTTTTTTTTTCAATTTTATTTATTTATTTATTTTTAGAGAGAGGGGAAGGGAGGGAGAAAGAGAGTGAAACATCAATGTGTGGTTGCTTCACATGTGCCCTGACAGGGAATCGAACCAGCCACCCTTTGGTTTGCAGTGTGGTGCTCAGTCCACTGAGCCACACCAGCCGGGGCTGAGGGGAGATAATAAATCTTATACCAGTGGATACAAAGGTGGGCGGGGTGGGGAAGCCACCTAATTGCACAACCCCAATATAATCACTGTTAACATTAACATTCCAATGTATTTTCTTTCCATCATTTGTTATTTGAAAGTTTATGTGATTGCAGTCATTCTGTACCTATAATCTTGTATCTTGATCTTTTTATTTACAACATCGTATTTTTTGGTACTAACATCCCTTTTTATGTACCTTTAAAAACAGCCACAAAAGGCGTCACTGAGTGATGGTGCTGTGGTTTATTGATTCAATCACACTGTGACTGAACATTGAGATCCTTTCCAGCATTTTGCTGGTGCAAATAACCCCCGGGGTAAATACACTTGGGTGGGAGGCTTCCTCTGGAACTCGGATTCTTTTCTTGGGCTAGAATTCTAGAAAATGGAAATTGTAGGTTAAAAGGGTGGGCTCTAATTACATGCTGCCAAGTTCTTTCTCAAAAGAATGCCCCATTGCACATGGTCCCCGGCATCAGGGCAGGAAGGTGCCGTGTCTGCTCGCTCCTCAGGGGTGGAGGTGGTTTCCACTAATGTGTGTGTCGACTCATTTCCACCCGTAAACAGAGGCAGCTGAAGCCGACTCCTGCAGGATCCCCCGGGCCCTTCTGCTCCGAGACCCCGCTGCTCCTTCATCTCCTGGCGGCCTGGTGTTCTGGGCCTCGCCCACGAGCAGTCTGAGGAAGAACAAGCCATCTCGTCCACCCGCAGCCATGAATTTCCTCCGGCGACGCCTGTCTGACAGCAGCTTCGTGGCCAACCTGCCCAACGGCTACATGACGGACCTGCAGCGCCCCGACACCTCCACCAGCTCGCCCGCTTCCCCGGCCATGGAGCGGAGGCACCCCCAGCCCCTGGCAGCCTCCTTCTCCTCGCCAGGATCCAGCCTTTTCAGCTCCTTCTCCAGCGCCATGAAGCAGACCGCGCAGGCCCCCCCCGCGGGGCTGTTGGAGCCTCTGGGTCCCTCCACACCCGTAGTTCAAAGGCCCAGGATCCTGCTGGTGATCGATGACGCCCACACGGACTGGTAAGCGGAAACTGCAGGCCCTCCCCGCTGGGGGCGGGAGAGGAGATGGGGCTCATCTCACTCCTGTGTGTGTGTGGGGGGGGACGGGGTATGGGTGCTGTACGAGGCTGGGTGATGTGGAGACTGGCTGGAGGGGGGAAAACTAACAGTTGCCCTGTGGTGACAGCATACCAGGTGCAGGGCACTTGCTTTGTCTTTGGGCTTTACATATATAGGTCCACACTGCCTCACCTGCAAATCCCAGAAGCGCTAAAAACTAAAAACTGTTATTATCCAGTTGACAGCCAAGCCTGATCGAAAGGAAAGTGAGACCATAATAGTCTTCATTAGACCACTTACTGTGCTTGGTCACATGCTTTGCTGCAAACACTTCTTTAAAATCCTCACTCGAGGATATATTTATTGATTTGAGAGAGGAAGGAAAATGGTTCGGGAGGGGGAAGGGAGAGAAAGAAACAACGATGAGGCCACATGAACCAGTTGCCTCCCTTACGAGCCCTGACTGGGGATTGAACCCACAACCTTCTGGTGTACAGGAGGGTGCTCTGACTAACTGAGCCACCCAGCCAGGGTTGCTGCAAACATTTAATGCATTTGATGGGGAGTGCTGCCTGGACCCAAGTGGAAGTGTTATATAATATATAATATATTGTATATGCACCATCTTACCTTTCCAAAAACAGGAAAATTTTTAAGACCTGAAATAGTTACTTAACCTCTTCAGCCTCATGCATCCATCCCCTCCCCTGCCTCCCCCCACCCCCACCCGCTGTCGTTAAATGAGATTTCTTTGAGATTAAAAGAAATCTACGTAGGTCCACAGCCCTTATTAAAACCCTTGGGACCAGGGTACCTGAGTTTGCATCTCAGCTCTTACGTGTACTGGTAGTCTAGCCTCTTAACCCCGAGGGTGGACAGAAGTGACATGCTTTCCAGCCTCTTTCCATGGCAACCTCCCGGGGCAGAGACCTGACAAGCATGTAAAAGTCATCACAGGGTTTGTTCCCCAGGGAGTTACTGGGCACCAGGTAACTAGTGCAAAACACAGCCTTAGGTGCTCAGGTAAGTGGTGAACAGGCCCCTCTCACAGGCAGCTGCCGTTGGAAAGTAAGTCTCTACTCCACATTTTTCCTAGAGACAGGTGATAAATATCACTGTTCATAGAATCTGCAGCTCAGGAAGTGAGTGAAAACTTGGAGACGCGGCAGCTCCCCACCCAGGGCAGTTCTGACAGTCGACTCACGCGTGGGTGGCCCTGGGGGCTGGACAGCAAGGTCGCAGGCCTGTGTCTCCAAACACGCTGCCATATAGTAGGCACCCAGTAAATACGTATTAACTGAATGAATTAATGCATCCAGTTCTCAAAGCACACCAGATGCACTGTTACTCTACGGTAACATGCACACGTGCACTTACGTTCATTCTTGAGAAGGTAACTCGGGTTGGGAATGATCGAGTGGAAGGCATTTATAGTTGAAAATACATATTCAATACAGTCACCATTAAAGGTTCAGATGTCAATCTTGAACAGGTTCTGATGTCACTCTTTACTTTCCTGCCAAGAAACCCCTTCATCTCCACCAGTGTGGTCCTGTGCGTGGTGGCCTCTGTTCTGATCGAGTCTGCACTGTCTGCTTGCTTCAGGGTTCTTACCAGGAAGCCTTGTTCATCTCTGCCTTTGTGCTTATGGGAACCAGCATCTTTAGGTTCTGAGCTTAGGGGAAGATTTCGGCGGAGATGTTGCCTCCGGGGATTCTTGCCTGTGCAGCCCTGCTGGCAGCCCACCCGGGAATCAGAATGCCTGTGTGATCTTTGCCAGGCCTCTGTTTCTCCTTAACCTAGTGCCTGACCTTGATCTTGAATGTTCTCTGCTGACTGTGTTATATCGCTGGCTTAGTCAGGGTTTGCCATGATTTAGTGAGGGCCAGGCACTTAAAAACCTATTTGTCGGGAAAGTTACTTCCTCTATGGAGGATGAGATAATAAATGGCAGCGTGGTGCAGTGGTTAAACACACAGACTTCAGAGCTAGAGCTAGGCTCTCTGGGTTCAAATCCAACCTCTATGCCATTGCACCTATATGACATTTGCAAGTTACTGTACCCAAATGGGGGTAATAATAATACCCGCCTTGCAGAGCTAATAGATGTAAATAGGATTAAAACCTGAGTTAATATAAAAGTGCTGGTAGACAGGAAGTGTGTATCATTACCATAGACTATTGTGACCTTCTGTGCAGCATGAATCACTTTGACAGCAGGCCCGCACGGGCTTGCCTGTTTAATCCTTCATGCCCATACCAGGCAGAGTGGATTAGGGTTTCCCAAGTGCATTGGGGTTTTCTGCTGGTCACTCTTCCCTGCTAGCTCCTGGGTGACAAAGTTGGGTCTCACTGATCTCTGCCCTCTCGGTGCCCATATGACGTGCATATAGTGTCAGGGCACAACAAAGGAGGTTGAAATGCAATGAATGGCCTCCTCCAAGGATAGTCTGACTCTGGTCTTCAATCTCTGCAACCATAGCCATGACCAACGTGTGCATTTTAGGCTTTGCTCATGGGGGGACACAATTTTGGCTAAAGGAATTTCTCCCAGTATATTTCAGTCACGTTCATATGCCCACACTTTAATCAGGTCTTGAGAACGGCAGTCTTTTTGCTTGCTCCTCAGTGGGTAAAAAAAAAAAAAAAAAAAGGAGAGTGAGAAGCTGAGGCTCATTCACTTACCTGGAAGCTGGCTCTGTGTTCATCGGATGTTTGTGATAGAATCTTCCAGTCCACAGGCACGTCAGCTTCTTATTCTGAACTCCATTTTACATTCTTTGCAAACTTCCTAACCTCTCTTAATCTCAGTACATTCCTAACTTTCTCCAAATGGATGCCAGCATCTCAGAATCCTGATCCTCCTCTGCAGTTTCCTGTCCCTGCTTCCAGGAGCGGCCAGCAGGTGGCGGGCCAGCCCCACCGTCCCTGGGCGGCTCTGGCAGAGCCTGGGCTGCCTTTGTCAGGCCCCTGCCCAGCCTCTCCTTCCTTGTGGGACTGTCTCCCAAGAGGAAAAAGTAGTTAAAGGGGGAAGGCCAGCTCACATGGCGCCTTTCTTCCCCCTTTGAGATGAGATTGAAGGGGGAGATGCCCCACTGTCTGGACCCAGAGGGAACCCACCAGGAACGTCCCTGCTCCCTTTTTTCCCTTCTCAGCCCCAGGTCCTCTGTCTTTCCAATACCCAACCAGGTCCTTCCTGCAGTTCCATTTCCTTGTGGCCAGGAAGTTGCAGGAACCCCCCACCTTTCCCCTCCTGGTAGGGACTAACTCCCAGACTCTGTGAACCAGCCAGGGCCCCCAAGGACCCTCTGGTACCTGGCCAGTGACCTGGGGAACAGGACTTTCCATCCTGAGTAGACATAGAGGGTCCCAAAGCCAGCTTTGCTGGGAAGAAGGACTCATGGCTCAGCATCTTAAGATCCTACCACTCTCTGGGATTTTCCTTGGAGGTAAGCCCAGCTAGGGCAATGGTGTTTGGGGAGCTTTGGACCAGCACCCCCTTCACCCACCGCCCCTTAAGGTCAGGCTCAGGAGTAGGTCTGAACTAAAGTTGGTGCTGCCCTGTGGGATGAGGGAAGATCAGTTTTGAGAACTAAAGAGAAAGGACAAATAAAATACATGGATTTCAAGCTCAGTTTTCTTCAGTCCTACCATCACTCTTACCTAGAATTTTTCAGCAGCCTCACTGGGGTCAGGCCTCACCTGGTTACCTTCCATGTTGCCACCAAGTTGTAGACTTTCCAAAACCCACGTGTGATTGGTGTGCTCCCACGCCCTCTGTGCATCCCCTTTTATAATCCTGTGCCAGTGCATCATGGCCCTCAAGTTCAAATTCAAAGTCCTAAGCTCATCTGCCCTCCCTCTAGTTATGCAATTCCACTTCCTGCCTTGCTGCTTTTTCCAAAGAAATACCAAGCAACTCGTTCTGCTCAAACATTGCCTTTTTTGCCTTCGCACATTCTGTTCCCCGCTACCTGAAGCACTCTCCTCTAGCGTGTTCCCTTGGCCAGTTTTCTTTCATCCTCAAAAGCCTGGTCAGGTGCCACTGCTTTCATGAAGTCTTCCCTGACACACCCCAGCCTGCCGTCAGTGCCAACAACCACCTCCCTCTGTAACTTAACACATATCTCATTGTGCCCTTACGGCCCATATCACGTGGTGTTATAATTGGCTGTTCAGTGGCTCTCTCTTCTGCAAGAACAAGGCCGGTGTCTCATTCTTCTTTACATCCCTGGTGCTCAACACACAGTAAGTGTACAATTAATATCTGTCGTTGCCCCACCCCAGTCCACCAGGGTGACTTTTAATGAGCGTCATGGGACCTGAGACTCACCTTACCTTAGGAGTCGGCAATAGAGGACACACAACTGAGCGGTTTCTGTTTATATGCACCTATCTATAAAATCTTGGCTCCTGCCTTTCCAGTATGCTAGAGTAACTGCACGGCAGATATTTGAGATTGTTTAAAAAATAGGCAAGCATTGTTATCATTGCCCACAGAACGCATCAAAACTCCACCTTTGATTTTCGTAATCAAAACATTAATCATGACAAACAAGCAAGCAAACAAACAAACAAACAAACAAACAAACAAACAAAAAAGATTGCTCATCACCAGGAGCCTGGACAGGGTTGCTGAGGGGGTGCTGGGGTGAGGGGTGCATAGCAGCAGCTGAGCCTGTGCCCCCCCAAGCCCCTCCCTCCAGGGCCTCTGGAACCCCCTTCTCTCACCTCACTGGTGGCTTTGTTCCTGAATGTCTGCTCTTCCTTTTCAACAATGATCTATTGTTACTTTCCCTTTTATTCTCCACTCTTCCCAATGGTTTCCTTTTTTCTGTTTTATTGGTTGGGGAGGACATGAAAAGAAGATTCTTGGTTTGAAACACCCTAAACTACCACCCTCCCAGCCCACATCCAGGCTGCACTTGTGCATTTCCAGGGTCACCCAGAGAAGCCACACT